TGTGTATTGTTTGTGTATTTATACACAAGCACTCATATATATTCAAATAATTTAAAAAATGTTCATTTACTTGTTACTACCACACACCAAATCCGGTCGTACATGTTTTGTCTTTAGGGGCCGCCGTAAATATACTTTTATTTATTCACTCTACATAAAATGTAATAAATAAATCATATAATACAAAAACCAACTATCTACATTTTAACTTTTAACTATTTAAATTTTCAGCTTTTTCCTTTTAAACAAATTTAAAGTGAAACAACACAAAACACTGCAAACCACAACACAATTAAATATAAATTAAAATATGTGGTGTTTGTTTCTGTCTGTTTCCTTCCTAAGACAAATGGCTCAAGGTCGCGATGCTGCGTATGCCACCGCATCAAAGGTGATGGTCGACAACCTGGCTCTGAGAGACGGGCAGGAGGGGATCCGCGCCTTCATAGAGAAACGCAAACCAGTGTGGAGCCATAAAGCAGAAAAAGCCCACGACTGACTGAGTTTTAGCAAATTATACAATGATCATGTGATTAATATTGACAGGAACACATGATTAGCACTCACTGGTGAGTTGAGTAATTACCACCAGCCTTCAGTGAATGTGTCGGCTGTGCTGTATCATGTTCTCTGAGGATTTCCTCCTGTTCACCATAGCTAAAGATGATGATGATCCATTGTGTGCCTTAAATGCTGCTGTGAGAGCAATGAGAAGGAAATACACTGTTGACTAAGATGGTGGATAAAAAAATTGACGTAATAGATAAATGCTGCTTTCTGTCCAATTTTAGATGGATTAAATGAGGTTAAGAATGGAAAGAGATTCTTAATGTTGAGATGAGCTACATCTAAGCTCTGTTTGCTAGACTATAAATCCTAAACAGAAGCTGAAGTTTGGATCTTTGAGCAAAATTACTTTTTTTTTTCAGATCCTAGTTTAATTAGTTCTGGATTTGTAATTAAGTAGAAGATTATAAAAATTAATAGTCTTGACACAAAACTATAATATTATAATTCAATAAGCTTGTTGAAATACAACACTCTACTTCAGTAGCTTTTAGAGGTATGAAATGTTGCCAGTATTTCAGTAAAAAATTAATAACAACATAACTACAGCATAAATCTAAAAAATGAAGTATTTTTAGGGATTTTCTTTGTCCTGTTACACATAATCCTCACAATGACTGACGTTAGTCCATCACCTTTTATTGTGCCAGCTTTTTGTTAAGTGGTGTTTGTGTTAGTTTCTGTTGTTTTGGTTAAAAGTGTGCATTAAAATTAAAACTCTCATATGGATTTATTTACGCAAAATTTAAATCAAAGTGGTTAAAATGAAAACCTTGTTCACAAAATCAATGTGAGGCGTCATTGACACAGAGAGCAGAGCAAGACGTTATCGGAGTCCAGCTTCGCTCATCATTCTTGTTTTCTCAAGGCTTCTTTGCTGCTACGCACACAGCAAAATCAGCAGTCTTTCACACCTTGGCTCGTGTGATTAGGTAGAGGATAATTAGGGGGTCCATTGTCCGTCTTGGGGGGACTATCCACCATTTGACCCTAGAACTGAAGAAGCTTCTCGGATGAGAGGTGAAACGTCTTCAAGCATCTTAAAGAAGTCCAGACGCTTTTTTTCCCCAAGCTCCTTAGACTACGCTAACCTGGATGACTGAGAACCTTCACAAACAACAAGTTACAATCCAAAAAAAGGGAATTATATATTATATATGCATTCTAATTCTGAGTTTATTTATCAATTAAATAGAGTAAAATATGCACACTTAAATGTATAAATAATGCTCTTTACGGCGTAATTTAGCCTGTAGTGTTAATCTCATATAACACTACCCAGTGTTGGTCAGTGTTAAATCCTGACTCAATTTAGAGTCAATTTAACTCTGGAATTTCAACTCTTGTGAAAGAGTAAATTTAACATGGTGAAAGAATGTCCGGAGTGTAGCCCCGTCCGAAATGATTCAGGTTTAGAGTAT